GTCTTAATGAGATCACAATACTCAACAGAATTACAACATAACCCACTATGTCCTAAAGAGATCACAGTATTCAACATTATGAACATCCTATACTCAATAAATCCCATTTAAAATGATAGTAGTGACAAGTACCCTACATTATTAAAAGATTCTAATCTAAAATAGATAAAATAAAGTTTCAAGGTGACATATCATCAGCTATTTAGAAAGCTCAGCAACTTGAACAATGGATTTCTAGAATCCCTGTATTGATCCCACTGATTTCACGTATAGTTTACTGATCAGAAAGGGGCCATGTAGGTCATTGGCTATGCGTATCTCAGGTTCCATAGTGCAGATCCATTAAAATTATAACGATCACATTCATGAGAAACTGAACTTGCTGGTCAAGGGTTAATTTAGATGTCTCCCTATTATCACTGAAGCAGAAAAACTAAAAAAAAAAACCAAGAAACACTAACAACAACAACAAAAAACTGGCTGGGCATGGTGGCTTATGGATGTAATTTCAGCACTCTGGGAGGCCTAGGCAGGAGGATCCCATGAAGCCAGCAGTTTGAGACCAGCCTCCAGCCTGGGCAATATAGTGAGGTAAGGCCCTGTTTCTACCAAAAAATTAGCTGAGCATGGTGGCACACAGCTGTTGTCCCAGTTACTGGGAAGGCTGAGCCAGGGAGATCACTTGAGCCCAGGAGTTTAAGGCTGTAGGAAGCTATGATCATGTCACTGTACTCTAGCCTGGGTGACAAAGCAAGATTTGGTCTCAAAAAAAAAAAAAAAAAAAAGAAATAGTGAAGGACAGATTAACTTTTACTGGTACTGGGAGATAATTGTCTGGGAGAAATTAAATGCAACTTTTGTCTAAATTCTAATAATTTATAAAACATTTTAAGACCTTTGCACTCTTACCTCTCATTTCCAGATCTACTTCCAAAGTGGGACAATCTAAAATTCTCCTCACATCCTGGGTGTTCCTATGGAGCCAGCCACAGCTCTGAGGAAGCCAGGAGGCAAAACTGCCCCAGCATGGTGGAGGCAGGAGAATCTTCACCACCAGCCTGTCTTTGGGGAGATTTGCCTTCTCCCTTTTTCCTCCAGGCTAAGGGGATGTTTACAATTCAATGAAAAAATAAAGTTAATTTGCATTTATTGCAGGGAGATTATTTTAATTGCATTAACTCTTGGTCTACACCTAAACTCAGGTTCAGGGAAAATACATAACCTTTTCTATAGAGGTAAGCCACTTTTCTCTATAATATGGAAAGCTTCCTTCTGAACCCCTGTTGTTGTCTACCTTCCTCCCTCCCAACAGCTCCTGGACTGTTTTGTGATCCCAGTCGTGATTCTGCTCTCCTGGTTCTTCCTGCTGATCCGGTACAAGGCTGTGCATTTCATCGGCATCGTAGTCTGCATCCTGGGAATGGGCTGCATGGTGGGAGCAGATGTGCTTGTGGGAAGGCATCAGGGAGCAGGTGAGTCTTCGGATGTTCACCAGGTTACTCACTTCTTTGGGTGAGGCCAAGGCAAGAAATGGAAGTTTCACAGTTGAGTGGAAACATGGACCTTAGGAACTTGGACTTTTGAGTGTCTGTGTCCTATTCCGGTTTGTTCCCCACACCTAAAACAATGGCACGTAGGAAGTGCTTAATACATGTTTCTTGAGTGAATAAAAGATGCAAAATACAGCTCTTATGCCCTTTCAACATGAATTTAGTAACATTCAGACAATATTTAAAACTGAGAGTCATAACCTACTTGGAAGATGTTTTAGAAATCACTCTGCTCCTGACCCAGCTGCCTGGCCCAGACCCGCTAGTTAGAGGTGTTGGTGATGGGTCCATCCACTTCGGAACCACAGGGGCCTTCCCCACACTTCCCCCACCCCAAGCCTTTCTCTGTCAAGCCAGGGAAAGACTGAGCTTTCAAACCACTGGGTGAAGGTTGGTTTATAGACCTAAGAGTGGATGACATTTGAAGACTAGATTAAGAATACTCAATATTTTTATGAGGGAGAGCTAAGTTCAGCCTCCTTGTGCATGTTTTTTTTTTTATTTGTTTTGAGGGGAGGGGTTATTGGTATTAATCACGGCTTGTAGATCCATAAGGTAAAGCTTCATGATTAACTCATCAGATTGCTGTGAATCTGCCTTGAGGGGAGTCCCTAATCCAGGGTGGTTCCCAGAGGACCCTTTTTAAAGCATTGCAGTTCTTTGAAATGTACCAAAATGTCCTACAGAAGGGCTTTGGGAACAGAAAAAAATGACCCCCGCTGTTAACATCAGGAATGGGATAGAAAGTGCCCACTTTTCTATAGTTCTTGGAATTGTCCTTTCTTCTAGAAAATTGGATGATAAAGACTCAAAATCGGGCCATTTTTCTTTATGCAACTGAGTCATACGAAGTCTCTAAAACAATGTCTTTTATGTTGCATCCTAGAACTTTATAGCTAAAAGGAACGTTGTCAGCTCCTTTATATTCCACATACAAGAACAAGATCCAAGCAAGCCAAGTGGGCTGCCCAAGGTCACAGAGCTGACAGAGCAGAGATGAGAACCCAGGGCTCCTGGCCTCCAGGGCAGTCCTCCTTGCCTCTGTCAGGTTGCTGGGAGCTAAAGATACAACACAGCAAAGGAGAGACAGCCTCAGCCTCATAGATCCACAGCTTATACAACACTGTCAGTCCCCATCTCAACAGACAGACTGAAAATACATACCCCAGCATTTCTCAAATTCTATTATATAAAACACTGGTTCCATGGCATACCAATAGAAGTCATTGAAAAGGCCAGTTTTACACTCTGTACATGTAGTGATCTTGATATGGATAATCTCTTTGGACAAATCAGATGATATTTTTGTCTGGTCCAACATGGCCAGTTTTTCTAAAGTCAAAATTTAATTATGCTTTCTCAGCTTTCCATGAACTGTGTAAAGCAGAAGCATGATGTACACTTAGTTATGAAAATTCTGCCTTCCTGAACACCAGCCATTCACCCTGCCTGTCATCTTGCACACCATAGGCAAGGAAGACAATTGTCCTGATAATTATGAACATTTAAGCCTAGAATGTGAAGCTACCTTGAATTTATTTCACTAGATTGTATTCACTAATCTCGTAAAAAATGTTTTCTTGCTTTCAAATGAAGTGTTAGAAAAAACGTAGAACTATTTAAGAAAAAGAAAGTAAGTCTATTTGAGGGCCTTTCCAAATCGGTCATTTTAAAAAACAATGTAGACGTGGCTAAAACATACTGGAGTGGTATTTTATCTATGCGTGTGAATCTTTCTAACACCCACAGCATCGTTGCTTTTGTGACATGTGAAGTACCAGTGTTAACAGAATTAAACTTTATCATTGTGGAATACCTTCTGTGCTATTGAAATGGGGCCGGAGTATATGGTACGATGTTTTAAGGCCAGCCCAGATACAGGATCCCAGGGCTCATTTTATAAAATCATGATTGGACATGCTTTATCTCTATAAAAATATTAAAGTAGACAGAAATTTAAGCTATCATATAAAATGTTTTTGAAAAAGAAAAAATACACACTGGTTTTGAGGTCAATGTAATCCTAAAATTGGTGTGTATCATTATCAAAAATATTCCATTTGTTTTTACCTTTATGGTAGAGTTGGTTCAATTGCATTAATTAGCCAGGTTCGTAAAACTTTACTAAAATACTGCAGGCACTCACCAGAACTTTTATCAGGCATGGAACTCGATATAAATTATGATCACTGTATCAAGAGCTTTTTGCAAGAAAAGAGAGTGTCTGACTGGATCCTTTTTATATTACTTAATCCATGTTTCACCTTAGTTTGGGACTTTGACAATTCTGTCTCCAAGGACATTGATATTGACTCTTTCAAAATTTCTTTAATTCATTATAATTAAGTTAATTGTTTTAATTCTACTTTGTTAGCATGTTTCTTCATCAGCTATCCAGGAATTCCTTTGATTTAAGTCTTACTAAAGGAAACTTTTCAAATGGCATCAAGTACTCCAGGTATAAAATATCAATGTCAGGGCACAAAATGATGTGCCAGGAATACTGCTTTTGATGAAACTTGACCAGCATGTTTGCCTACTGTAGACAGGTGGAGAGAAGGAAGCCGGGGAGACTTTGCCTCGTAGCCTATGGAGTGGTATATACATAGTGGGAAAGACACAAAGACTTACGTTCTAATTCTGTGCATGCCACAGGTACAACTGATCATCCACTATAGGAAGCTTCTATACCTTTGCACTCACTTGGAAGGAGATGTCTTTTCCAAGTTTGTCAGTAAAAATCAGTGGGCCTAGTATGTGTGTTCTCTTTGCAGCCTTAGCTCCACCCATGTCTGCAGTATAGGTCTCTTCTGAAAGAGCATCTCTGCATTTACTGATACAGGGCAGGGGGGTTAGACATGTGATAGAAGTGGCTGAGAATATAAGAGATGTTGGAGTATGTAAAAATGACTTAGTAAAGCTTAAAAGATACAGCTCCATGACTTTTCTACTTTCCTGGGAACACTTATCAATATAAAAGGCAAGGTTAGAAAGTAATAGGATTAAGAAAAAAAGAATTCAAATAACTCCATATTAAAAAAATATATTTCTTGCCCTTCAAAATATCCTCTTTCTACCATAATATATTCATTGCATCTTACAGTTCATTTATCAAAGATGTTAGACACCCATAACAATACTTTTTTATTATTAAACATAATTTTATATTTATTTTAAAGAAAAGAAAATATTTTCAAGGAGCCAGATAATTAAACACAATCAAGTAAAAGTGACATTTTTCTTGAGTGCCCACTGATGGCAGGCAATTTCTCATACATTATCTCATTTAATCCTCCTAACTATGCAAATAATTTTATTCTTATTCTTGTGGCTGAAGAAATCAAAGCTCAGAGAAGATAAGAAACTTGTGTAAGGGCACATCATTTCTAAACTGAGTGGCCCAGATGTGAAATACAGCCCGTATTCTTTCTGCTATACCACTTAATCCTTATTTTTCCATAACTGTGGCTCCTATAAGAAATGTACCATTGTTTTATCATAGTAAATTAGGGTGAACAAATGTCCTGGATTGCTCGGAATGGAGGAGTTTCCCCAAATGCGAGACTTTTGGTGCTAAAACCAAGAGTCCCAGGAAAACAAGACAGTTGGTCCCCCTATTTAAGGCTCTAATGTATTCAGTGGGGTGGGTATATTTCATGCATTGTGCCAATAGTCTTCCAATGCTCCAGAATAGAATAGTATAACTCACCATTTATTTCTTGACTTAGTGGCAAGTACTAATGTTAAATAACCTTCCCTCTTCTCCTCCCACCACCCTCCAAACATGATGTTTCTAGTACTTAAACAAAAATCTAATAGGGAAAACCAATTTTTGCAAAACAGTTATGACTGGGTTGATTATAATCAAAGAGCAATCCAAAATGAGAAGTGCCCAATGCAAAGAGACAGGTGATTATCCAAAGAAATGATTGATTCATTGTTTTTAGCCACCATTTGGTGAACACCTAATAAGTGTCAGATACTATGCTAAGTATTTTACATGTGTTCTTTTATTTTATTCTCATAATAACCCCATTTTAAGATAAGGAAACTAAGTTCAGAAAGACTCTATAGCTGCCCAATGTTACACAGCTAGTAAGTGACAGAGATGTGATTAGACCCAATTCTACCTGCATTGACAGCTGTTGCCACTCAAACTCTTTACCATAGGATGGATTCAGACCTTTGCAGTCAGTTCCATTCATTTAGACATTTATTGAGAATATCTAATGCTCCAGGATCCGTACTAGGGACCCCATGGAATATACAGCTGAGTAAGTTATGGTCCCTCCCCTTCAACCCTGCTTTGTAAGAGAACAGGTGCAGCCAAGGGTGAGACGTACAAGTTAACAAGTAACTGGAACACGGTGGGTGCCATAGACAAATAGCAAGGGTGTGAGATTCTGAGAAGGAAGAGAAGTATTGGGTTGGATAGACATTTCATAATTTTAAATGTATATTTAACCAAAATTTGCAAAATATTATCACCCATTATGGTTTTATACACACATAAATGACAGATTTTCTGAACAAAAGTTTACCCATGAATATCATACAAAAACTAGTACCACCATGTATGTCAGATATCTACTGCATTAACTGCATAAAATATATAGAGTAATATGTTATGACTTCCAGTTACTAGATACAAATTTCAGATAGAAAATATTAGTCCTAGCACTTTCTTGTACTCTTTATTATATCAAGTTCTTCATTTTACGATATAGTTGAATAAAATTTTGTTCTGGTTGATTTAATTATATTTAATCAAGTAAATGTTTACATGTTAATATGTTAAATGTACCCACTTTCAAATGATTTAAAATTTGACAAATATAATTATCAGTGAAATTATAATAAATAATATTTAATTTTTTTGTCATTGATAACTTAGAGAATACTTCTGAATTTGGGGTTACACAAAATTATATTATGGTTAATAATTATCACTGAATTGGTGAAGACTTTAAGTACTGGTGAATAGATTTCTTATAGTCAAAGACCAATTATCAAAATAGGCTGTAACTGTACAAATGTGGAGTTTGAAAAACACTGTGAGACTATTCACTGAAACGGTGTGTCTTCTTGTTAGGACTTTTAAAAGATTGATGTTTCCCTCATTCTTATTAAAATATTTCATTCTGATTTAGTTTTCCCGAATTCATTCATATAAAATTAATTTCATTAACCAAGAATTCTATTAAGCAGCATTTCCACACTTCACTGGTACAACAATAATTGATGTTCATTATAATGATGCCATGTCATCACAAGATTCTGAAATGTCTCCTGAGTGGAAAGAGACTGAGTCAGTTTCATTATAATTTTAGTTATAGATATGTTTTATTTTATGGGTCATTCCTCAAATGAACTACTTAGAATTATAAGTTTGTCATTATTTTATAGTTGGCACATGAAGAAGATTAATCAGGTTGCTGAAGATTCCACACTCTGTCGCAGCAACCTTAATTTTCCTAGAAGATGCTCCCAGGGACCTCCTCACAGGTCTGGCTTCTCATCAAAGTCTCATCAAGTTCTCAGCTCATCTGCTGAGCAGTGATGGTGAACTCCCTGTGAACCCAGAGAGAGCTCCCGGGCCACACAGAATGGCATTCTCAGCTCCATCCCCTTGAGGGTGACTCCAGCAAGCTGCTGCCTTTCAGGGTCTCTTCCTCTCTCTCTCTGATGCTTGCCAGGAGTGGGAAGTTGCCCTAGAAAAAGTGGCTCAGTAGGGATAGAATTTTCCAAGGTGACCACATACCAAAGTCTGTCCCCAAGCCCTGTCCAGATTCTCTCATGTAAAGCCACTACCTAGAGAATGCTCAGTGCTCCCCACTGAACCGTGAGAACCCAGGTCTACAGTTTCAGATCGTCCAGCTAGTCCGGGAATCCAAGGCTAACTGAGTCCCTTCCTTAGAATCTCTCTGGCGTGGGTGCCCTTCCCATCCCACACCTCCCCCACCCAAAAGCTGCTTGTCTGCTGACCTCCTGCGCCACTGACTTGCACAGGACAGAGCCTGAGACCACGTGGGTATAGAGCCCACCAGCGAGGCCCTGCCAGCTGCTTATTTCTACTCCCCTCTTTCCCTGGCTTCACACTTCCTGGAGTGGGAAGAGTTTGCCTAATTCTAGGAAATATCTGGGTGATTTATTAAAAATTGGATATAAACCAACCAAAATTGAGTTTAAAACAAATAGATTTTTTATGAAAAAAAGAAAAATATTAATGTGATAATGAATTACATATATTTGCAAGCTTATGTTACTTACTTAAGGAAAGTTGAGAATTTCAATCCATAATTCCTTTCACTCTCATTTGCTAAGCAAATACACATTTTGCCCGTGGTCAAAATGGAGTCTTTATTGGTTTTGTTATAGCTTCTCTCCCTGTATAGCAAAGGGTGGAAATTCATACCAACTCTGTTTGTTCTACACCATGTTCACTAAACTGGAATTGTTTAAGCAAATATAACACATGCCCGTATTAGCATATATTCACAGACACATACCTAGACAGAGGACATTGGGCTTTGTGGAGAGGGTGCAGTCTGGAAAAAACTGGTCTCTTCCTTAGTTAGGGAAAATCTGACTGTGTCAACATAGGCAAACTTTTTATATCAGAAGGTGTCTAGAGCACAGATAAACTACTAAATCTCATTTGGAAATTACAGGACTTCTATAAAAATGTCAGAATAGAATAAGCAAAGGAAGCTCGATTTGCTGGTGCCAGGTTCCTAAGAGAATTTTGATGGCTTTCTGCTTTTTGGTTCCTAGGGGAAAATAAGCTAGTAGGGGACCTTCTGGTCTTAGGAGGAGCCACACTGTATGGCATCTCTAACGTCTGGGAAGAGTACATCATCCGAACCCTGAGCCGAGTGGAATTCCTGGGAATGATTGGACTCTTCGGTGCATTTTTCAGTGGAATCCAATTGTGAGTAAATACAACAAGAAATTCAGAGAGTAGAGACTATCAGGACCTAGTTGTAAAGTTTTTGCTCTTAGGGTGTAAAAAATCAAGGCTGGAAACTAGTCACCCCCTCTTGCACAGAAGTCTTCTGAAATATGCCAACTCAATATCTTTATTAGTAAATTTCTTCCAAACTTAAAAAGTTTATTATAAATTGTTATAAAAAATTTAGTGGGCTTTGAAGATAATTTGCAGAAAAGCATTAGAAGAACATTGATTCTCCCAAACTAGTGAATGGGTTATTACCTAGAGAAGTAGAAAAACTAAGCATAAATGCCACAATTCAATGCACTTCCAAAAAGGAACATTCCATGTACTAGTGACAACCACCACTAGAAAACTTACAGTTTAAAATTGCCCTGTTATAAATTTGTCCTTTTGTTTCCCATGGATTTATAAGAGTGAACCACATTTCAAATGCATCTGTTAGAATTTAGCTTTTCTATTATTTCCCTTAAAAAGGTGAAGATGTAACAAAAACGTTCACTAATCATCAAAAAGTCAAAAGCACCGATTTTCCAGTTATTCTGGGATTGGGATATATAAGTTAGGACTGGCTATTGCCTCAGAATCTGTTGTGAGAATAAGTGTCAAACAAAGCTTTATTTTCCATCAGTAAAAACCATATATTTTAGCTTCATGTAAGGGATAAAGAATGATAGTATAACCTTAAATCTAATTTTATCAAATTCTGATTTCACCAGATCTCTTTCTACAAAGCAATTACTTTGTAATTGGATTGGTTCAGTGCCTAAAATTATTTATGGAAAATATTTTGGCATCACCTTAAACATATTTTAGAAATAGGCTATTTTCAACAATCCTCCAAATTTCAGTGTCTTGAGATACCGGTGAAAAACTCCATAGCAAACAAAGAAGGTGCAGAGATGGGAAGATGCTCTCAGAAGGATTTATTTTGGGTTCATTTTGAAAGTGTTATGGCATTTTAAAGTTCCCAAATTTGGTGCTTCAGCTTCGTGAGAAGACAAAGAATTGTTTAGTTCCACTATTCACAGAGAACATTTTGTGGATAGATGGCTCCTTTTATGGGTTATTATTCTTGAGTCCAAAATATATGTTCAGAGTTCTAGTGCTCCTTTGCTCCAGTTATAGTCCTTTAGAGCCGAGTGTGCCCTTTGGGGGACACTGCTGCCAAAGTGATAGAAGCGGCACTGGGAGGTGTTTGGCAAGTGGGATGCATTGGGGGCACACAGGAACCAAAGTAATAACGCCAGTGGAGTGGTGCCAACCTGGCCTCCTGATCCTCTTCTAGAGCAGTGAGTGGTTCTCAGAGTGTGGTCCTCTGACCAGCAGCACTGGAATCACATGAGAACTTGCCAAAAATGCACATCCAGGGCCCCACCCAGATCTATAGATTCAGAATCTCTAGGAATGGAGCCCAGGAAATAGTGTTTTAACGCCCTCTCCAGATGCCTTTCACGTACATTCGACTTTGAGAACCCTGCCCTAGTAAGTGCTCATTCAGAAAGTTGATTAAACCTGCAAGCACAGAAATAGTCTGAAGCTCACCATTTGCTTTTTATTATAGAAAGCATCCGAACAAGCAGGAACAAAGGCTGTGGGCAGACTGGGTGAGAAGGGCAGTGGAAGGGTGGAGCTCCACCGTGCCCCTGGCACTCTCTCACTGCCGCCTGCCACACCTACCAAGATCTTCTGGGATAAACCACAGGCTGCCTCATTAGACTTGCCTCTGAGTGGCCCAAAATTCTTTCTGAAAGTCAATTGGTTGCTTCATTAATTTGTATAAATCTGATAAGTGAGACCGAAGGAGGATATAAGAGTGCATTCTAACCTTGCTCATCAGGTCCGCTTTCTTTGAATTTGCAGAGCCATAATGGAGCACAAGGAGCTGTTAAAGGTGCCCTGGGATTGGCAAATAGGTAAGGATTTTGCTCACCTAAGATGCTGTTTTTAGTAAACCTGAGAAATGTGTTTGAAGAGTGATGTGGGTACAGGTGGGGCACAAATGAGGAAGGGATTTCAAATGGTAGGGGACAAGAGTAATGGAGTCCTTTTGTCGTGTTAGGCATTCCCGCACACTCTTACAGACTGCATTGTATGACTCATAATGTTTCCTAATTGAGCTTCTGCCCTGCTTATCATCGTCAAGATGCCATTAGGGGAGACACAGAAGTGTGTTATTAGGTTAAAGATCAACCAGAAAGAAAAAATGCCCCGAGGCAGTGGTAGCACATAAATGACCCCAATTTGCTCTAGCCAAGAAACACTAAACGGATGTGATCATTAAAAAGTGCCGCTTTTAAGTAAAGGCAAAAAACTGAACTTTAGGAAACAATGTCATGGGCATTCTGAGGCCATAAAAACCTTTTCAGAGGGGAGCAGTTTGCAATAAGAAATGCTTAATTGATCTCCAAGTGGACTCAGAAAATACCAGACATGCTTTGAGCTAGTTGATACTCATCCAGGACATCCCACTTTCCCCCTGTTTCTAAAATCACTTTCCTCTAAGAAATCTAGGACAAGGAATTTAAGATCCTAGTGATGCTCTAATGATCCATCACAGCAAGCCCTGGGAGGGACTGACATCTAGCACCCTCAGAAGGTGTCCCCTCGGTGTCTCTGCTGAGACATGTGGGTTCTCACACTGTAGTTGGCTGCTTGGGCCACCTCCAGCTTGTATGAGCTCTGATATAACAGACAGCTTCAAATTCCGTGTTCACGAGGAAGGACAATAATGACAAGAACTCACCTGCATCACTTTACCTATCTGTCCACCCCCTAAGCATCTGAAGCCAACTTGCCACAGACATAATTCCCTCTGAAGGCACATTGCGAGCTACAAAATTGTGCATGACTCTCTGTAGGGGTTATCTCCAGAGACATCAAGGGCTGACCTACCCTGTGTCTGTCACGGAGTCCTGCCATTTCATTTCTCTCAAGTTTTGCTACAGAATGTTATAATTAAATGAAAATTGGGGTTGGGCATGGTGGCTCATGTTTTTAATCCCAGCACTTTGGAAGGCCAAGGAGGGTGGATTGCTTGAGGCCAGGAGTTCAAGACTAGCCTGGGCAACATAGCAAGACCCGCATCTCCACAAAATCTTTTTTAAAAAATTGGCTGGGCATAGTGGTACGTGCCTGTAGTCCCAGCTACCCAGGAGGCTGAGGTGGGAGGATCACTTGAGCCCAGGTATTTGAGGCTGCAGTGAGCTGTGACTGTACCACTGCACTCCAGGCTGGGTGACAGAGTGAGACTCAGTCTCTTAAAAAAAAAAAAGTCAAGAGAAAGGAGGGTGTGGGGAGAGCAAGAGAGAGAAGGGTGTGGGGAGAGGAGAGGAAGGCAGCGGGAGGTGGGGGAGAAGGAAACCAGCTGCAGGTTCCAGAAGCATTTGCCTTTGTGGCTGTCAAAGCCAGGAAACAGAATGTTACCCGTGCTTAATAGCACTTCACATGCAGTTGGTTTGTGAGTATAAATTAATTTGATATTGATAATGATAGCAATAATCAAAAAGAATTTGTCCCCTAATTATGTGGATGCCAAGTGCACATCCACTGAGGTTCTGTTATAATTCAGTGTTAGTTAAATGTGTCATCAAAAGATAGTTTTGTTCTGAGCTCTTATATTGCCATTAAAATGTCAGTGCCCTGTAGTCAAAGATGATGAAGGGCAGTGTAAAAGGAACACATTATAGAGCCATCCTTTTAATTCCTAATTGGAAATGAGGCTGAAATCACCTCCGGTGCACAGTAGGGTGCCTATAGTTAACAATAATTTATTGTGTATTTCAAAATAGCTAGAAAAGAAGATTTAGGATGTTCCCAACACAAAAAATTGGTAAATGATTAAAGTGATGAATATCCCAATTACCCTGACCTGATCATTACAGATTGTAGGCATGTATCAAAATATCACAAGTACCCCACAAATATGTAAATTATTATGTATCAATAAGAAATGGCCTCAGAGAAGAATCAAATATTCATCCTCTTCTTTCTGAAGCATTTGTAAGGTTGAGTTTGGGGTGTTTTTACATCAGGGCCATCTTTGTCCTCATTACCTCACCCTGACTTACAGCAAGGTTCTATTGTTTAGCTCAGTTCTAGGCACACAGCATGTGGTGAATAAATGTTTATTATGTGAGCAAATGAATGCATGACAAGCAAGAAGATAGTCCAGTTCTGCCCTCTCTCATCTCACAAAATACAGATGAAAGGGAAATGGTGGAGATGTCAAGGGACTTTAGGTTCGACATTGCACTCTTTCTGGGGCACTGGGGGATGGCATAGCAGCCGCTAAACTCCTGGGCCAAAGAGGCAAGGAGATACCAGGTGAGGGTCCGCACCCTCTCAGACCTTCCCTGCTCTCCTTGGGAAGTCACCCGAGAGTGCCTAGCTCTGATCGCTGTGTCCTGGCGGAGGACTCACATTGTTTTAAGAGACCAGAATCCAAGAGGGTCTTCATTTCCCATGATCTGTCAGTGAATTTCTCTCCACGTCAGTAATCTACCTCATACAATCTCTTGGACAGCTCATGTGGTTGCCATTTTATTAAAGTAAAAAGATCTCCCCACCCATGGTGTAAGTAGGTAAGTGGGATAAAAAGTATGTTTTGTATTTTCTGGACTTGAAGGCATTTTTAAAAACAGATTCTGTTATTTTCGTATAACATTGGCCAATTGCAAGATACAGAATAATTAAAAGCAAGAAAATAATAGTTACCGTTGTTTGTTTTTATTCCATTGTTTTACTCTACTGAACAGAAAGCCTGGTGATTATCTAATCGGTAAACTCAAGTAAAATATATGATCCAATATAGCTAAAATGTCCTCCTGGAAGCAGGAATGTTAGAGTCAGAGTCAGAAATCTAATAAATAACTTAGACATTCCCTTTATTCCACGTGTTGTATTGTGTTAAAGAATGTGTGAGCGAACGTAAACTGATGTGAAAGTCAAAGTCACAGGAAAGAAAAAGAGTGCCGCGGGCCAGCCAGCACAGGTCTGTGGTGTGGAGGGGCCTTCCTCACTTTTGATGTTGTAGTTGATGCTGCTTTTGGTTTTGGTTTTGTGTCTTTTTTTCTTGGAAGCCAAAACAAGAGATTTGATCTTTTCCTGAAGATAGAATAAAGGGCCCACAGAGAAGAAAGGAGCTTAAAGATAATGAAGAATACACCTTTCTTTTCATGCATGTTGAATCTGAGGCCTGGGGAGTTGAGGCTAGCCTCATAGCTGCCTGTGGTGAGACTAATTTGCCCTTTCTGCAAACCCAGCCAGCCTAGTGCCCTTTATAGACTTAGCCTAATGCGTATGTTCTGAAAGTCTTCTCATCTAGCCATTACTTTTAAGAATTAAAAATAATATTTTAGAACTCTAGTATATCCAAAGGAAAGAAAAAGAGCACCAGTGGGATGAAATAAAAGAAAGAGATGAGATAATATATAAGCAGCATACACAGACACTAAATATATATTGATAGATTGCATATATACATAGATATATCTCATATATAAAATTAGGTATTTATTAGAGTCAAATAGGATTCTCCTTCAAAGCTTTATTTCCCTCATAATAATTAAACAATATAGATTAGTGGCATATACTAAGAATTTACAGTCAGACTGTGCATGTGTCCTGAGGGCAAGTTACTCAATCTCTATATGCTCACAGATCCATTTCTTACCCATCTTCTGCTCTGCTCTTGCAAACTCCACTTCTCAGCCTCCCTCAGCTGGCTTCCAGCTAGTTTTGGCCAAAGGAAGGCAGTAGAGGATGATTGGAGGTAAGAGAAAGAAAGAAACCAGAGCATTTCTTCCTGTTTCTCTCTGGGGTCAGGCCTCTAGAGATGGCTGAGTCTCCTGTTATTCTACTTCCACTGGGATTCCCCTACTTCTGGCCTCTGATAACATGGCCCCCTTCCTATACTTCTCTAGCTCTTGCTATTGCTAATCTTTGGGTTGCCTCACCATCCCTGCTTCCTGTAGCACCCATTCAAACAACTTTGTAACTTGTGTGCCATATTAAATATCCTCTATTAATCTGGTTATGGGCTGTGTTTCTTCACTGAGACACTCTATAAGCCTATTTCCCATCTAAAGAGGATAACAATAGTTATCAGCATTATACTGTTGTGGAGATTAGTTAATGTACATAAAGTACATGACACCTAGTAAGCAGACAAGCCATATTAGCTGATAGTAGTATTTCCAATCTCTGTTGCTTAAATCTATTTAGTGAATGACAAGAGTGACCAAATTCTATCCTAAGTGAAAGAGAAAACATTTCAAATAAGAAAGGGTTATACACATACTTTGTCTATAAATGTAGTTATTGCAGCCATTAGGTAGTCCTCGGTCAAAAAATAATTTAGTTCATTTGTTTGATCGTGTTGATCAATTGGGCAGCAAGTTGGGCTTTCAGATGCATTGCTAACATCCATTAACTAGCTAATGTCCATCAAAGAAAGCAAATCAGCAACATGCAAGAATACTGCATTCTAGCTCTCAATTTAATGGTGTGTTCATTTGGCAGACAATGCTTTGCTTACGAAACAGGATATTCACACACAAACATATTGGTTGACCTGGCAAAGTGATCAACTGCGATGGTGTTTGTTCTACTCCCATCACCCTACATCTGAATTCTGTAGCTTTTTAAAATACATTTAGAATGTGTAAGCTGGAAACATCCGGAGGTAGCTTGATTAGTAGAGTGAAGTCTTCCATGTATCTATTTTCCTACTCTCCTTGGCTCACAAATTAGGCTTGTAAAATCTCTGAGTCCTTCAATTATATATCCAGCTCCCTACTCGGCAGATCCTTTTGGATAATGTATAAGCATCTAAACCTGAACATACTCAAAATGGAACATTTTATTTCCCCTCAAAACCTGGTCCTCCCTTAGTGTCTCCATCTCAGTAAATGGTATCACCCAGTTTCTAACTTAGCCAGATCGCATGGCATCCGCGATGTCTCCTTTGCTTCTCTGCCTACATCAATCTATCTCCAGGGCTTGTTGAATCTTCACAGACCTGGCCGCTTCCCTCCTCCACTGCCATTCCATGCAGAACCAAGCAAGCCATCAACCTCTCTTGCTGGGACTATGACAGACTCTGACACTACACTTCTAACTGGTCCCCTCCCATGCTTTCCTTCTTCCAATCAATCCCTTCTCCATGGAGTAGCCAAAATCATCTTTTTAAAATGTGCATCAGATTCTGTTAGTCACCTGCTGCAAACTCCTCAGCTTCCTATTACAACTAGAATAAGAC